GGGACAAAAACTCACCTGATGGAAAATCTACAAGTGGATACTTATTCTACTATGGAAACAGTTTGATTGAATGGATTAGTCAAAAGCAAACTATTGTGGCCATGTCTACTGGAGAAGCTGAATGTGTATACGGGGCACACGATGAAGCCCCGCCCCCCGCTTCCGGCCGCCCCGCTTCCAGCCCTCATTCAGCCAGGAGGAGGCAGGAGAAGAGGGAGGGTAAGTTGCTTCCTCCTTGCCTCTTCCCACCCCTGCCTGCCTGGGGCCAGGGAGGGCCTTTGCAGGGCTTCCTCGCACTCCCGCCAGACTTGCAGGTCCACCGCCGGGCCCCTGATGTCAGAGTGTGTGGCATATGCGAATGAGTTATGCTAATGAGTTCCCCTAGCTCTTTTTCTACGAAATGACCCCTGACTAATGTTCTTTAGCTGTAGAATACCCTGGAATTTTCTCCCTGATCTAGGAATTTGATTGGGACTAAAGTGTCAAGGTGTATTAGCATTTTATGGCTCTCTTCCCGTCTTTGTTTGGTGTTCTGAAGAAGAAGAAGAGTAGCCATACTCTCTCTCAGAAATGACCCCTGACTAATGTTCTTTAGCTGTAGAATACCCTGGAATTTTCTCCCTGATCTAGGAATTTGATTGGGACTAAAGTGTCAAGGTGTATTAGCATTTTATGGCTCTCTTACCATCTTTGTTTGGTGTTCTGAAGAAGAAGAAGAGTAGCCATACTCTCTCTTTTCTTGTTTTGTCTTTGTAGAGTAAGGATGTAGCAGATTTTGCTCTGTTGTTATTTTCATCCCAGTTACCCTTCCCATGCTACAATTTAGTAAAAACCTTATATTTTAATCACACATGGACTCTGAGTCTAAATTATTTTACTCCAGCACTGCTGGACCATCTTATCTCTGCTAAATACCATTTTTTCAATATCTCACTATCACCCAACAAGAACACAGTTGCCTCAAAACAGAAGACACAGAAGGAAGCCAGGCCTAATCATTTCCATAAAGTATCCAGTAACCAAGCCCTTTCCCAACAAAACAGCCGCCTTATCTGAAACGGCCAAACACCAGGAGATGATCTAAAAAAGGAAATCTGGGCTGGTTTGGAAAACGGTTAATGGTGGTTTGCCTGTCTGATACCCTCTAAAAGGGCTAAATGTGCTTGAGAGATGTGCCTTGTGGGAACAGCAGTGCACTGTGAGGCGTGGAAGTGTCAACAGGGTGGAACCAGCAGGGTGGATGAGGATTGTTTGGGTGTGGGATGGGAGTATTTGCAAGCAATGAGTCACCCACAACAGGAAAAGCAGGATCATTTTTGAAATGTCTAGCCTGGAAAGTAAGGACCGTCTGGGATTCTGAAAAAATGATGGGGTGGGTGAGCGCTGAGAGGGCTGGCAGAGAACCAGAAGAACTCCAAAGAACAGAGATGTCCCAAGAGACGGGTCAAGAGGGAGGAGAGCAGTCAGTTTTTACATTCAGTAGGTTAACCAGGGATTTTGGAACTAAATGAGAACAGGGTGCCAGACAACTGCAAAGTAAATCGAACTGAGGACCAGCACCCCACCTCGAAAGATCAGGTATATGGATAGAAGAAAGGAAGAACCCTGGCTCAACTACCCCAGGGCATGCAATGGGAAGGAATGTGTCTATACAAAAGGACATCAGGGCCAAAAGAGAGAGAGAGAAAGAGAGAGATCAAGATAGTTAACACCACACACAACAGTGATAAGGCACAGAAAACAATTAAGGAAAGATCTACCAAAGGGAGGGGGTGGGAGAGACGGAATTCCCTGGGAGGGGAAAGAGGAAGTTTGGCTCGCTGGGTGCAGAAAATGGAAATATCCTGAAACAGAGAAGCAGGTGACCTAGTGAAAGGGGCTGTGCTGTGAAAGATCTTTCCAGGAAATATTCAAATAGAGGGGGTGCACGCTAGTGGGACCGAAACCTACAGATGCCAGAGTACATACAGCAGATAAAGGTGGACGTCAGGGAGGGGGAAGGGTGGAAGTTAAGGGGAAAGTTACACAGAAACCGAGAAGGGTTTGAAACACAAAAAGATTTTTAAAAAAGGGACTGGGAGACGTACAGGTCAATGGGGCAACTTTGACAGGGATTCTCTAGAGCAGTGGTTCTCAACCTGTGGGCCCCTTTCACAGGGGTCGCCTAAGACCATCAGAAAACACAAATTTTCGATGGTCTTATGATAGCAACGAAAATAATTTTATGGTTGGGGGTCACCACAACATGCGGAACTGTATTAAAGGGTCGCGGCATTAGGAAGGTTGAGAACCACTGCTTTAGAGGGTGGACCCTATGGCATTATACATGTTGAGGTCCATCTCCTCCCCAAATCCTGCCTTCCCCAGGCTCCCCCCTCAAATATCTAGGAGTTTCCCAACCCAAAGTTAGCATCCTTGCTTCTCTCTCTCCTTCTCTGTTCCCAGACCCCTCCTCCTGCCCCTTTTCACGTTATGTTACTCTTCAGCACTCCATCTTCCATTCTTCCTTGCCTAGACCTCAACTTTTTTTAAAAAAAAACTGTACTTTCTTTTCTTCCTGGCTTTCCCCTCCCCGATGTTAGACTAGTCTAGCCAATCACACCTAGAGAAAGAAGAGATAATGCCGTTAATGTAGTCAGGTCCGGATGGGAGAATCCCCTGGTTTCAGGGGCTTCTCTGTGCTGTGGACCAGCTGGCTGGTGGGGGAAACCCCACCCCTAAACAGGGATGTCGCTGTGCGATGCCCCCAATGTGATGGTGTCACCTGGAAGTGATGTCATTGAGGTGGAGACACTCTGTGGTTTGAGGGCGAAAAAACCATAGAGTTTCGCCCAAATAGCAGAGCATCCCCAACATGATGATGTCACTTCTGGGTGACATTATCGTGTCAGGGATGTCATGCGACATCCCTGCCATCCCCAGAACACCCCCCAAATCTCCCCACCAGAGTGATATCTGAAACGGCCAAACACCAGGAGATGATCTAAAAAAGGAAATCTGGGCTGGTTTGGAAAACGGTTAATGGTGGTTTGCCTGTCTGATACCCTCTAAAAGGGCTTAAATGTGCTTGAGAGATGTGCCTTGTGGGAACAGCAGTGCACTGTGAGGCGTGGAAGTGTCAACAGGGTGGAACCAGCAGGGTGGATGAGGATTGTTTGGGTGTGGGATGGGAGTATTTGCAAGCAATGAGTCACCCACAACAGGAAAAGCAGGATCATTTTTGAAATGTCTAGCCTGGAAAGTAAGGACCGTCTGGGATTCTGAAAAAATGATGGGGTGGGTGAGCGCTGAGAGGGCTGGCAGAGAACCAGAAGAACTCCAAAGAACAGAGATGTCCCAAGAGACGGGTCAAGAGGGAGGAGAGCAGTCAGTTTTTACATTCAGTAGGTTAACCAGGGATTTTGGAACTAAATGAGAACAGGGTGCCAGACAACTGCAAAGTAAATCGAACTGAGGACCAGCACCCCACCTCGAAAGATCAGGTATATGGATAGAAGAAAGGAAGAACCCTGGCTCAACTACCCCAGGGCATGCAATGGGAAGGAATGTGTCTATACAAAAGGACATCAGGGCCAAAAGAGAGAGAGAGAAAGAGAGAGATCAAGATAGTTAACACCACACACAACAGTGATAAGGCACAGAAAACAATTAAGGAAAGATCTACCAAAGGGAGGGGGTGGGAGAGACGGAATTCCCTGGGAGGGGAAAGAGGAAGTTTGGCTCGCTGGGTGCAGAAAATGGAAATATCCTGAAACAGAGAAGCAGGTGACCTAGTGAAAGGGGCTGTGCTGTGAAAGATCTTTCCAGGAAATATTCAATTAGAGGGGGTGCACACTAGTGGGATCGAAACCTACAGATGGCAGAGCACATACAGCAGATAAAGGTGGACGTCAGGGAGGGGGAAGGGTGGAAGTTAAGGGGAAAGTTACACAGAAACCGAGAAGGGTTTGAAACACAAAAAGATTTTTAAAAAAGGGACTGGGAGACGTACAGGTCAATGGGGCAACTTTGACAGGGATTCTCTAGAGCAGTGGTTCTCAACCTGTGGGCCCCTTTCACAGGGGTCGCCTAAGACCATCAGAAAACACAAATTTTCGATGGTCTTATGATAGCAACGAAAATAATTTTATGGTTGGGGGTCACCACAACATGCGGAACTGTATTAAAGGGTTGCGGCACTAGGAAGGTTGAGAACCGCTGCTCTAGAGGGAAACGACTGCTAGAAACAGAAGAATGACATTTTACAGGAAGGTTACGGGGAGGTCAAACAAGGATCTGAGTCAGGCAGGGAGAATGACAGAGACTATATAAAACTATAATCAAGCAGAGATTATGGTCTACCTCCCTACAATGGTACAGAGTTTAAGTACATCTTGTCCAGATTCTTGTAACGAAACGGCCCTTAAAGCAGACAGATTTCGTGCTCAGGCATGTCGAATCAGACAGACGTGTATGACTCAGCCTTAATATTTTATCCCAGTATTCTATTTGATGTTCAGTGTATCTAGTGTATTTAAGACACTGAACCTATAGAAATGTTTACTGATGACTTCTGATTTTGAATTCTGGTCTCAGATCGCAACAAACGTGACCATCTGACTGACAGAGGTGGCCTTGGGGCAGAGCAAGACACGGTGGCTCCCCTGCTGCATTTCAGGTGACATGTTGAACTAGAAACGGAAGGAAGAAAGAGAAGCATCGGGATGAGAGTTCCCCCTTCTAAGAACGCTTAACTCATCCGCCTATTTATAGATGGGCGGAGCTCAGAAAGGATTGGCAGGAGGGCTGAACATTACACTATTATCAAACAGTTTTCAGTTTTCCTCCCCCACATACAGTGCCTCCCCCCCCCTCGCTTCCCATCTCTCACACCAGACATTCACCCCTGCTTCCACCCTCACATCACTTCCAGACTGCAACCCGCCCCCACTGAGCCATCCCAGTTTCCCACTTACACACCACTCATCTGACACCCAACCAATCCCTCCCCTTCATCAGATAACTCGCCTCAGTGTCCCCCAATGGGATTACTAAGGGAGAGTCCCCGCATTCCACCCCCTAGACCCCGCATCTCACTTGTACTTTAAACATGTAGATCCTCATTTGCTCCCTGCTCCTCCTGTCACCCCTCCCCCACACTGCCCAATTCCCCTACGCCTCCAACTTTTCTTTAAAGCCTTCACAGTTTTATTTAATTAAAACAATACAAACATGCATACTGAAAGATCTATTACATTGTGTTTTCAATCAATTTCAACTCAGTATCTGTATATTGCACATAACTAGCCTTGCACTCAGTCTAATCTACTACGCCTCCAACTTGACTCTCCTTACCAAACTGCAACACGGCACTCTCACGTTTAATGCTCCCTGACTTCCCCATCCCAGTTTCCCACTCACATTAACAAAATCCTGTTCTCCTCCCAAATAACCCCAGATTCGCCATCGATCACTTCCCCCCTTCCTCAACTACGCCCTCCATAGATCAACCCTCCCTATACACTTCAACTTCCCTGCTCTCTCTAGTTCCACATCACACCAAAGCTGCACCCCAGAAGCACTCCTCACGACCGCCTGCCCTAACGTCACCTCCCTGCATCAATCCCAAATGTCACCCTGCTAGCATGAGACCAAAAAGTCCCCGGAATGCCCGGATCTCCCCATCCACATTCCCAGTTCCTCTTTCAGTGCCATTCACATGACCTCCCTGACTCGCCACCACCACCAAAACAGTCTGTTACTGACACACACAGTGCTCAGCCTTGCTCAGGTCTGGCAAAGTGAGGTCCAGTGGCTTCCTTGGCCAAGTCAAGCCATCCCAAATTGGGTCCAGTGTTCCCTCTAAGCTGAGTCGGTGTGAGCCAGCTCAGTTTTTTAGCCTCCAGCTCACGGTTTTGTCTTAGCACAGGAAGGACGGCTCAAGAACAAACTAACTGACGCAGTAGCCAAAATCACTCACTCACAACAACTTTAATGCCAGTAGCTCACAAAGTAGGATATTTATTTATTTTTTTGCTCACAAGGCTCCACCGCTTAGAGGGAGCATTGCTTGGGTCTTCCTCTTTCCCCGCTGCCTTCCGCTTTCCCAGCATGACCATCTTTCCCAGCGAGTCTTGTCTTCTCTTGATCGGACCAAAGTATCACAAACCTTGCATGACAGCAGACTGCTTCCCACATGACAGGGCCACCCCCCAAGGAAGACAACACCCCCTTTTCAAACACGACCTCCCCCATACACACTGTACACCACCCTCTCAAGCAAGAGGAACTGAGATATTCTAGCATCCCATCCCCAAAAACCTTCGGGGGGGGGGGCACCGATGACCAGTGGCTCCCTCCAAGCTGCGGAGTCTTCTGAGCAAAAAATCTACTTTGTGAGCTACCTGCATTAAAGTTGTGAGCGAGCGATTCGGCTGCTGCATAAATTAGTTTGGCTCTGGAGCCCTCCTTCCGGAGCTGAGACAGAAATGGGTGAGCCGGAGGCTAAAAAGCCGTGAGCTGGCTCACACCAACTCCGCTTAGAGGGTACACTGCCTATGACATGCACCCCAATGATACACCACCCCCTCCATGTCACAGGTAGCCCCCTTCCCCAAGTGAGCTCCCTTCTTGACACCTCGTGGGGGGGGGCACACAAGGTCAAACCCAGCGGCCCCCCCCACAGACACGTGACACCCCGGCGCCCCGCACGAGCCCTCTCCCCTCCTCCACTCACGTAGACGGGCAGGGGCCAGGGGTAGACGGCCGGCTCGGCTCCGACGGGCGACTTGAGCCGGAGCTCCAGCCTCTCGCCCATGCTGGCGGCGGCCGACGGGGCAGATGCGGTCAGGTCGGGGCGGCGGAGGGCGGCAGGCGGCGTCGGACCCCGAGCATGCTAGACCCCCGGGGGCGCCCGCCGCGGTGGCTCTCCCCGCCGTCCCTCGCTCGGCTCCCGCTCCTCCTCCTCCTCCTCCCTCGCGCGCCTCGCCTATTGTCGCTCGCGCCGGGCCGGGCTCCTCCTCGCCGTCAGCAGGAGCAGCGCCGCCGCAGCCGCCATCTTGGGCCGCCCCCGCC